TGATTCCCTCTATCAACTTTGATTAGTCTGATTCCACCAACATATTTCTCCAATTCCTTATTGCATGCAAATTTCGACTAAGAAAAAAAGAAAAAAAGAAAAAAAGAAAAAAAAGAAACCCTAGGTCATTTTAAAAAGAGAAAAAAATCAACTCAATACCTTTTGCTTATTCCATAGCGTTAAGATTGCACTCCCGGATGCCGAATCAACACAGTATAGATGACGATTCAACCAAAAAGAAGTCATGTTCTCGATAAAAAAAAATGAATTTTCTCTCAAAATGTGCTTCAACGTTGGCTGTTGCTATCTTGAGAATATTTATATTAAATACCAATTATATACCAATTATATTAAAATTTAAATTCATATGTCACCTAGTTTGATAGTATGAAGAGTATTTACTCACTTTTTTTTTCTAAAATAATTATCATTTTTTAACTTTTTTTTTAAAATTAAGAATTTGAAGATAATATTTGTATTTATTTATATTATCCTTAAAAAAAGAAACAAAAGATAGAGAAAGACATTTGTGATAAGATGATTAATTAAAATAAATGAATAATAAATAGGAAAAAAATATTTGTTTATCTTGAAAAATAAAAAAGTGATACTTTCTTTGTTCATTTTTAATAGATTTAGTTTGATTTTTTAATTTTTTGAATATAAATTTCAATTTAAAATTTAACAATTGATATGAACCTTGCAGGATAATCTTTTCACCAATCATATACAAGAACCAAAGTTTCATATTTTTCTCCAAGCTATCCAGGGTGTTCCTTTTCTGGTATTAAAAAAAAAAATTATTTCTTTTGAATTATCGTGTAATGTTAATTCTTGAATTTCATATGTGGTATATTAATGTGGCGATCTCAATTGTTCTTTGCAGTGAATTCTCCGAATTCAACTAACCAGGTTATGCCTCTGCCTTCTGTGAATTGTATGAATGGATTTGGTATTGCAGAACCAATGTTTGTAAATCCTGTTTCTAATTCATTGAATTATGGCTTTAGACCTTCCTGGGAATGTGTTGATCATGTTCAAATTATCGACAAGGCTACATGTAAAGTTTGTTCACAAGAGCTTCTGATATTATAGTTCAAGGATCCAACTCTTACAGATGAGATTTTGAAAGGAGTTATTGATTTCATTTTTCCTCTGATGTCTCATCAACATGGACATGCTTTATTTGAAATGTTGGCTCAGTTCTGTGCCAAAGATTACCAGCTAAAACAGATTGCAGGAAGAGCAATTTCATAAGT